TCATTTCTAGGAGATGATAAATATTAGAACCAGGAGGGTCAGTCTGCTAGAATACTCTGGTATGATTATACCTGTTGTTAAACTTTAAAATACTTCTGTACTGGTTTTCAAAGAGCTCCCCACAACCGGGGGCTCCCTGCCTGGGCCCTCCCCCAGCCTCCAGCGCGGCCCCAGCACAGCGTGGAAGGGTCTAGAGCTGGTGTAGACAGAGAAGGGGCGCCTCCAAGACCAGGCTGCACTGGGCCGCAAGAGCTCTGATGAGGCGGGGCTCAGGCCTGACGCCCTGTTCTGTTGAGATTCTAGCCCTCCCCTCAGGTAATGAGGGAGCGAAATCGAAGGCAGGAGAAACTTCTCATTCTCACACATAGAAATGTTTAACAATTTCTTCATAAATATTTCCTATTATTGTTAATAGGCGTAGTAGTAACATTTATTTCAAATTAGCCATTCTTTTTTTTTTTTTAAATGAAAAGAGCTTTATTTTATCCTGCTTATACTTGTAATACATGTTGATTATTAAACATCCAAACACAACAGCAACCTTTCTGTTTGGGGTGAGAATTTCTGCTTGTGGTATCTTAATAATAGCTCTGCTAGACATGGGAGAAGCCCACCTCTGGGAGCACAGAGGGGAAGAAGTTAAACAGATACCCTTCACTGCCAGTCATCCGGGACAAAGGAGGAAGGAGGTCACCCCCAGCGTGGGGCTGCAGATCAGATGCAGGGGTTCTGGACAGACTGCCTTTTGTCTGCTCCCCTAGGATGGAAGAAGGAGCCTCTCAAGTTCTGCTCAGACCTTTAAAACGATTCTGGGGGAAGGACTTCAGAAGCCAAGGGCTGGGGAAACTGCAGGAGAATATCTGATTATTTCTAAATGTTATCTTGAAAAGAAAAGAAAGAGGCTTTGTTGAGAAACTTTCCTGCTGGTATCTGCCTCTGGGAGTCCTGAACCTTCCACACACTGCTCTAGAGAAAGAAACTATTGATGACTTTAGGTCCTACCAAGAAGAAAGGAGTCCCATGATCTTTGGCCAGCAATTCCCTTGAGACACATGAACTCAGGCATGCTGCTTTGTAGCCAGCTTTCGAGTGGAAACACTGTGGGCATATTTCCATGTAAATGAATATAGAAATGCGACCATGTGCCATGGCTATCTAGCATTCCACTGTCGGGATGGAGCATACTGGGAGTAGCCTGCTGTCTACAGGTGGGTGTTTTACTAAATTGCTGCAGGGACCAGCCCTATAATTAAATCTTGGTGAAATTTTCCATGGGATAGTTTCCTGGAAGTGGGATTGGTATCCTGGTCTCCTTCTCCAAGATCACAAAGATCCAGGGGTGGGGAATAAAGAGCACTTTTTTTTTTTTTTTTTTTTTGACAGAGAGATAGAGCACAAGTAGGCAGAGTGGCCTGCAGAGGCAAAGGGAGAAGCAGGCTCCCCGCTGAGCGAGCCCGATGCAGGGATGGATCCCAGGACTCTGGGATCATGACCCGAGCCGAAGGCAGATGCTCAACCGACTGAGCCACCCAGGCGCCCAATAAAGAGCATTTTTAAGAAGCCCCAGAAATATGTTCCCAGGACCAAATGCCACGAGTGACGCTTGTCCCAAACCGGAAGCCCAAGGCTCCTGGAACCATGGTGTTCAGCCCAGCCAGCCTGACATCATCTCAGAACCATTCCTCCTCCCTCTGACAATACCCAGGTCAACACTCAGGCCTGGGACCCAGTGACCCAGTATATGACAGGCCCCAGACCATCGGGGGCAGGGGGCTTTACCTGCCAGAGGGAGGTCTAGTTCTGCAGCCTTTTTCATCCATCCCCTCCCCGCCTGCCCTGCCTGCCCCAGGCCTCCAGGGAGTCAGGGAAGTTGCTGACCTGTCCCCTGGGGGAATAATTGTATTAGTGACAAGGTGACCTCTGGCAGCTTCGTCAGCAGATTCAAGGCTTTGGGCTGCGTAATCCTTTGGCGTCTGCCCCAGCAGCTGGTGGTCACAGATCGGGGGAGAGCCCCTGCCCCCAGCCCCGCTGGGCTGTCATCCAGCACCATCCAGGCTCTGGCTGGGCCTGACGTGCCCAAGAACAGAGGGTCAGGGTGAGAGAGGAGCCAGGCTGACCCCCGTGAGAGGTCAACGTAATAAAGTCCAAACAGCGTAAGAACGGGCACATCAAACACGGCTAGTGTCTTTTATTCTGATGGATTTATTTTTTGCCATTCTAAGTACCACATAGCCACTACAGAATATCAGGAAAAAAAAGACAAGTTAAAAAGGAGCTACTGTGCTCTAAGTGACTTGTCATCCACACGCCCAGCTGACCTGAAACTCTGAACCCAGTCCCTGGAACCTTCCATCGGCTGAGGAGAGAAAGGTGACCTGGACTGAGGTCCAACCCTGGGGACAAGACCTGGCCCTGGAGTTTCTTCCTGCCCCCCAGGGCGGCATGCTCCCCTTCTCCTCGGGAACAACGCGCTCGCTCGCCGTGGGCACCGGTTACCTTCTGCTGCTAAAGCCAAAGAGATGCTCCGTCTTCTTTGAAGAGCGCCATGGGGGAAAGCAGGAGGCTGAAACTCCTGACTCCACCCCCAGGCTCCTCTCCTTCTCCACAGCTTTGTGGCCTCAGGCGATTTGCTTAACCTCTCTGAGACTGTTTCCTCACCTGGGGGTTGAGGTTTGCTGTGAGGTTTGGGTATGATGTTGGGAGTATTTGCACTTGCTTTTTCCTTCTTACTGTTGGTGACGCAAAGACGTCGGAGGACACTTGACCTGGACGATGGCTCCATCCTCGAATCCTCCCCCTCCCTTGCTCCCAGGACCCACGCTGTCCTGATTTCCCCAGCGGCTCTTCCTTGGCCCAGACCTCCAGGGTCCGAGGCCCTCAGCTCAGCCCTGGGCGCTTTCCTCCCTGCACGCACACGTTTGCTCGGGGCGGCCCCTCAACCCGGGGGCTTCAGTGACCATCTCCATGGACAAGCTGGGGACGGGCTGGTTGAGGCATGTGGAGTCGGTCTCCACACCTGAACTCTGGGTGGGTTTGTGGGTGGAAGCTCCGGCCCAGACCCAGGCAGGGGTCAAGGGGCCATGGAAGCCAGGCGTGTGTGCAAGATCCCCCAAGGAGAGCTGAAAAGATCCTATGGGGCCCGCTCTGGGGCACCCTGAGGTGATGACCATTCAGAGTGGGGAAGAAGATGGCAAAGACATGCTCCAGAAGTAGGAGAGACAAGCTTTGGGAAGGAGGGACCAAGTGCATCAAGTTCAAGGGAGATGCCCTGAGCTGTGGAGGTTAGATGGAGCTAGAGAATGTCCAGTAGAGGGCCCTGAGGGCTGCCTGTTTGGAGGGGTGCAGGTGAGCGCAGAGGCAGGGGAGGTCAGGTATGGGGCCTCTGCCTGGTGGCCTCGATCTTCTGAGGCCCCAGAAAGCGGATTACCCCACAAAGCCCCTCGAGCTGACTTCCCAAATCCCCAGTAGTGCTTCCCTGTCACAATGAGGGTTAACCCCACTTACATAAAGGCCTCGCCCCTCCTCCTCTGTCCCCTTCACTCCATGATCCTTCCAGAAACTTCTCACTGTTCCCCTCCCCCTTGGGCTCTAAGCCTGAGCCAGGCGCTGCCCCCTGACCCCCAGAGGTGAGCAGGTCTGCTGAGGATGGGTGGTGGCCTCTAGACCAACCCGGCTCTGTCCTGGGCAGGGGGTGAGAGTGGGGTTGGGGGCAGAGGAGCAGGGAAAGGAAAGGCAGTTTCCTGAGGCTTGCTCTGTGACTTCCTCAGAGAAATCATCATAATAACAGCCCCCATCACGTATTATGCTCTGCGTACTGGGCACTGAAATTTTTGATACCCCTTTTCACAGACACGGAAACTGAAGCTCAGAAAGGCTAAATCACTGGCTCAGGGCTGGGCCGTGTGATTGGCCTGAGCGGGAGCAGGGATTTAAATTTGGCTCTGTCTGGGCTCTCTCCACACTCCCTCTGGAGCCGGGGCTTGGTCCGGCGGAGGCCCAGACTCCTCCTTTGGCCTCCTCACCTCACAACCACACTGGGCTTGAGCTGGGAGGACGGCGTCTGGGGACAGCGGAGAGGCTGGCCTGCCAGGGACGGTGAGGCTGAGTGGGGGAAAGGAGGGGAGGCCACCTGAGAGCCTGGAGCCAGGCTCAGGGGCTGGGTCCTCACGCCCTCCCATCCTGCAGGCACCGCTCCCCAGGAGCCTACAGCTCCTCTTCCGCTCCTCACAGACCTGAAGGAGACTCTCCACCTCGGGCCCCAGGCCTTCCTGCCTCCCGGCCAGCCTCAAAGCCTACACTGGACCCATTCCCCTGTGTGATGGGTGCCATCTCTGTGCTGGATGTGTGGGGAGCCCCCTTCCAGGATTTGAGGGTCCTGGGCCCTAAGTGGTTCCTTATCAAGGGTTCAGGTGGGAACCATGAGGGTGGAAAGCTGGAGCCCCAGTGAACACTATATATGTGGAGACTCACACGCACACACATGCACACAACACCTCCCGGACATAACTTGCTCCCAGACACATGCCCAGCAGCTCAAAGAGATTCAAAGTCCCGGGGGGACCTGGAGTCCACACCTCCCTTCAAGATTGGGCATTGGATGGCCAGCCCGCTGAGAGCACAGGGCAGAGGAGACCAGAGACACTGGGCAGCTCGGGGGGTGTGGGGGGGCTCCGGGGGCACCTTGGTGACGCTGCCGCTGTGGCTGGTTGATCCCCTGTGGAGACAGTAAAGATTAAGAGGATCATAAGCTGCGTCCAGCACTGCCCTGCGAGAAGTCTCCTAGAGCCGGAGCCACCGCGGTGAGGGGAAGTCGGGGCAGCTCTGAGTTCAGACAGACAGACGGACGGACGGGAGGCAGGAGGACAAAGAGGGAGTGAGGGAGACCACCAGGGCCAGGGAGGGGGAGAAGTAGAAACAGGAGACAGGGGCACCAAGAGAGGGACGGCGGTCAAAGGACGGAGGCCAAGGCTGGGCCCACTCAGGGCGCCTCCCTCAGCGAGGCAGGTGCAGGCTGCCCTGGGACCCACTAGCCCTGGGCCCACTGCCCGAGCATGAGCTCCAACATGGCTGCAGCTGGGCCAGCGACTGTGGCTGCCCCCAGGAAGGAGTCCCCAGGCAGGTGGGGCCTGGGAGAGGAGCCCACAGGTAGGGCTTTCCTGGAGGTGGGGTCTGGGCCCTCGGGGAGTGCAGTGTGGACCAGAGGGTCGCAGGGACCATGAAAGCAGCTCCAAGGGCTGTGGGCAAGAGTGAGGGAACAGGCGGGCAAACCCAGAACCCTCGGAACATGGGGGTGGGCAGAGCCAGGATGGGACAGCAAAGGAGAGAGAAACAGCCTTCGGGTGTGGCCGCGGAGCCCCTCAGGGGTGGGGTCCCCGAGGCTTCTGTGGGAGGACAGAGCCTGAAGCCACCGGCAGAGAGGGAACGGGGGGCGGGCTGGTGGAGGCCGGAGCTAGCCCCGGGAGGGGCGCGGGGTGGGGTGTCTGGACCAGAGGGACTGGCGCTTTAACTGTGGGCGGGGCGGGGGATGGCGGGGAGGGCTCGCTGAGCCGGTGGGAGGGAGGGGTGCGACCCAGCCGGGCCCCTGCCCCCCTCAGGCGCGGGCCCCTCGCTGCAGTGTCGCGTGTGCGGGGACAGCAGCAGCGGGAAGCACTATGGCATCTACGCCTGCAACGGCTGCAGCGGCTTCTTCAAGAGGAGCGTGCGGCGGAGGCTCATTTACCGGTGAGGGGGGCCCGCCTGGGACGGCCCTGCCCCTCCCGCCCCTGAGGGACCCTGGGTGGGGTGTGTTGGGGGAGGACGTTCTCAGGGGCAGAGGGACTGGGCCAAGCATGTCCCACACCCACGGTCGAGGGCCTGGGTGGTGGGGCACTGACACCCTGGGCGCCCTCGGCCTGCAGGTGCCAGGTGGGGGCGGGGATGTGCCCGGTGGACAAGGCCCACAGGAACCAGTGCCAGGCCTGCCGGCTGAAGAAGTGCCTGCAGGAGGGCATGAACCAGGACGGTGAGTCGGGGCCCATCCCAGAGACGAGTGACGTTAGAGATGGGGGCCCAGGCCCGGGGGGTGTCCTGACCCTTCCTGCCTCCGCAGCTGTGCAGAATGAGCGCCAGCCGCGGAGCACGGCCCAGCTCCGGCTGGCCAGCGTGGAGTCAGACCTGGAGCCCCGGCTGGAGGCCCTGGGGGCCCCCCTGGCCCCGGCGGGGCCCAGTCCACGGGGCCCCACGCCTGTTTCTGCAGCCAGAGCCCTGGGGCCTGGGGCCCTCACGCCGCCGGGGCACCACCACTTCATGGCCAGCCTTATAACAGCCGAAACATGTGCTAAGCTGGAGCCAGAGGATGGTAAGTGGGAGGCCGGCTGGGGCCCTGAGCAGCCCCTGCCCCGGCCCCAGACTGGGGGCTGATGTCACCACTTCCTCCTCCAACAGCCGACGAGAATATTGATGTCACCAGCGATGATCCGGAGTTTCCCTCATCCCCATACTCCTCCTCATCGCCCTGTGGCCTGGACAGCATCCATGAGACATCAGCTCGCCTTCTCTTTATGGCTGTCAAGTGGGCCAAGAACCTGCCCGTGTTCTCCAACCTGCCCTTCCGTGATCAGGTGTGTGTGTCGGGAGATGCACTTGAGTCAGCTGCGTTGGGAGCGCATACAGCCCCTCGCAGGTGATGAGTGGGGGTGCCCGAAGCTCGGCGATGGTGACGGTTGGGATGCACGTGTCTCTGAGTCAGTGTTGGTCAGGGATCCATGTCTCAGGGATGTGACCACTGGGGGCGCTCACATCTCTGGGCATAGGTGATAGTGGGCTGTGCACCTCGGGGGTGACGGTGGCTAGGGCCACTCAGGGATTGGAAGGCAGTGCCTGTGGTCCCCTGGGTCTTCTCTCCTCCTGGACAAAACTTCAGGTCCTACAGTCCCTCTATATGTGACAGGGCTGTCTGCACACCCTGAATAGTGCAAGTGGGAGACTCTGGGCTCTCTAGGAGCACAGATGCCTGACTTCAGGGTTCGAGTTTCCACCTAACCTCTTCACCTGTAGGACTTCCCTCTGAGCTTCCTAAGGGCAAGCAGACCTGTCACGATAAACCCAGGAAGAGAGGCACATTGAGGGTCTGAGCCCTTGGCCAGTGGTTTGGATGGAGCAGCTCAGAGGTCAGGCCGAGTCTGCTGAGCACCCTCAACTTGGGACGCTTGTGGGGACTGTCCCTGAGGCTGCCCAACTTCCATGGCTCTAGGCTTTCCTAAATGTTCCAGTTGAGGCTCTGGAGGGAATGCATAGAGCATCTTGGAGCCTAGGCAGCTGGGCCAGATCATACCAAATCCCAGAGCCCTGGGCCCCTGGCTCAATGTCAGGGAGAGGTCAGGAGATGGTCTGGGCATCCAGGGCCAGCCCTTCCTTTCCTAGGGCCCTGGAGAAGGTGGCAGAGGTTCAGGCTGAGCCAGAGATGTTGGATCTCCACCATCATGCTCGCTCCTTCTTTGAGCACAGGTGATCCTGCTGGAGGAGGCATGGAGTGAACTCTTCCTCCTCGGGGCCGTACAGTGGTCTCTGCCTCTGGACACCTGCCCACTGCTGGCCGCACCCGAGGCTCCCGCTGCCGGCAGCTCCCAGGGCCGGTTGGCTCTGGCCAGCGCCGAGAGCCGCATCCTGCAGGAAACAATCTCACGGTTCCGAGCGTTGGCGGTGGACCCCACAGAGTTTGCCTGCATGAAGGCCCTGGTCCTCTTCAAACCAGGTGGCTGAGTCTTTGCCCAAGCCTTACGGAAGTGTGGTTGGGGTTAAAGAATGGGAATTCCAGTGATTTCCTTCTGCCTCTCCCTCTGCCTCCACCACCCCACATAGACCCGGGGGTGTGCAGGCTTCTTCCCTGGGGAGCAGGAGGAGCGAGGTGCAGGGCTGGTCTCACTCCGCCTGAGGGCCCTGGCTGACTGTGGCCAGGGACGGGCAGGGTGGTCTGGGAGAAGAGCTCACTGCCGATGCTTCTCTCCAGAAACTCGGGGCCTGAAGGATCCTGAGCACGTGGAGGCCTTGCAGGACCAGTCCCAAGTGATGCTGAGCCAGCACAGCAAGGCGCACCACCCCAGCCAGCCTGTGAGGTGACCTGAGCACCTGCCTCCCTGCCCATCTGTCCCTTCACCTCTTTACCCTCCCCCTCCCCCCACCTCTTTGACACCATCCTTGGTGTCACTCATTAGATGGCCCAAAGGTCTGATTCAACCAGCACAAATCCAGCATCTCCTGTGTGCCAGGTCCCAGGGGTGGGGACAAAAATGAGCAGAAGACAAAGTTGTTGCCTTCCCAGGATGCCCAGCACAGTGGCCCCACTACAGATGAGAACCACCCCCATCAGATTAGTGAGGGTTCGGGTACCTCTATCTCTCGCTATGCATCCACGTAGACAGCTAGGGCAGGAGCCTGGTTTGGAAGGTGTAACAGATTGCTGCCAGCGGAAGGTAGGAGATGAAGCTAGAATAGCATTCTGGGGCCAGCCAGTCCAGGACTTCAAATGCCGGCCAAAGGCCATACGGGATTTGGTAGGCAGAGGGGAGCCACTGAAGGCTTTTGAGCAGGAGGGCGTTGCACACAGAGCTAGAGTGAGTCCAGAGTACATGACCGGGGAGGGAAGCACGCACTGCCATCCTCCAGGGGAGTCCCTGGAGTCCTGCTCTCTGGGAGTGGCTGTAGGGAGAGGACATTTGCAGGGGCCTCCAGGAGTCAGAATGCGTCCGACTTGGCACGTGGATGGATGTAAGGAGCAAGAGAAGAGGTGCTGTTTGGGAGAAGCGGGAGTCAAGAAATAAAAAGGAAAGTCAGAGGAAGAGGTAGTTTTGAGGGACCATGACCAGCTTTGTTGGGGCTCCAGGGAACATCCCATAGGGATGCACTTGGCTAAGCCACAGGCATGGATGAGAGCCCGGCTGTGGCTGGGTTTGGGGGCAGTAGCTACTGAGAGGCTGAGAGCGTGGCTGGTGGTGACCCACTAAGTTTAATTTCAGATCCACTAGGGGACAAATACCTGCACTTTGAAAAACAATTTCTCTATTTGAGTTTCTAGTTACTTCTTCCTGAAACTCCCTAGCTCAGAAAAACGAGAGAGGAAGGAACAAGCATAAGACGCACAACTTCTCTGTCCCACCCACTTGGCACTTGCAAGAGAAAGAAAGCCCTTGGGTTGAAACAAATAAGTCCTGCAGATAACTGGGAGATGGCAGAAGGCCTCCCACAGACCTCCACGGTGGGAGTTGAGCGTGGAGCTGCCCCACTTTGAAGTGGCCTCCTTGATGTTGGGCAGTGACCTCTGTTGATCCTCCCATCTGTCTTTTGGGGCTTCACCATCTACCTTCTCTGCACTGGGGATCCTTGCCTTGGCAGATGGTTTGTTTGATTGATGGATGGATTGATTGATCGATTTGTTCATTCATTCATTCATTCATTCAGTAGGCTGCACACCCAGCGTGGAGTGCAAGGTGGGGCTTGAACTCACGACCTTGAGATTAAGACCTGAGCTGAGATCAAGAGTCAGATGCTTAACTGACCGAGCCCTTTAAAAAAAAATTTTTTTTTAATGGTTCTTATTTAAAACTGCAGTTGCTTTTCTTAGGATGAATATCTCTTTTGCCCACAAAAATTATGCTTCAACTTCAGAACACTTTCACTAATGGCTACTCTATCATCCTACTGGACTTACAGAGGGGCATTTATATTCTTATTCAAATATACATAGTATTAATCATCTCATAATTATCATAATAATCATATATATGATTAACACATTCTATATAGCATTAATATAAATAACTTCTCACTTTACAATCTTTGCACATAATAAACAATATTTATTCACTGTTTTTATCCCAGTGCCCCCATGACTCATGCTCAGAAGCTGGTAATAAAACTAATGGTGTCCTCTCTCCTGTTCAGGTTTGGGAAATTGCTCCTGCTTCTCCCATCTTTGAGGTTTATCACTTCCGAACGAGTTGAGCTCCTCTTTTTCCGCAAGACCATAGGGAATACTCCAATGGAGAAGCTCCTTTGTGATATGTTCAAAAACTGAGGGAGAAGGAAGTAAATGGGTCCAACTACTTTAGGAAACAGCCTACTGAAGGCACTCACTTGCCTGCCCTGTGACCCAGCAATCCCACCTGTAGGTATGTGTCCCAAGCAGAAATATCCACCAAAAGATATTATGAAAATATTCACAGTTTTATTCATAATAGCCCCTGACTGTACATCGGCAGTAGGATGAATTAATAAATTATGGTATATTCATTTAATGGAAAACAGCAATCAAGAAGAATCAACTACCAACACATGTGACAACATGGATGAATTTCGCAGACATAAAAGTAGAACGAAAGAACTTTGCCAGGCACAGCTTCTGCTTATACAAAGTTCATGAGCAGGCAAGACTAACCGGTGGTGGTGGAAGCTGGAATAGTGTTTACCCCTGGGGTAGGGAGGTGGGGTGGTTGGAAAGGGGCCCAGAGGAGCCCTCTGGTGACTAGAAATACTCTTGATGTTGACCTAGGTGGTGGTTTCACAAATTCTCTCATTCATAAAAATTAATTGAGCCGCACACTTAAGATTTGTGCACTTTACTGTATTATGTTAAATCTCAATAAAAAAGTGGAAAAAAAACCCAAGAAAACAAATGTGTTAAAGGCTCTCCATTGGAGGACACTGAAGTAATGAGCACAAGCTCTTGTGTTCCATCTGGTTTCCATACCACGGCAGAGTCCAGGGGCAACACATTCAAGCCCAGCTTCAAAATCTCCCACCGGAGTCAAAACCCAGCCTCTCTCCAGATGGGGTCCCATCACCCCACAGGCGCTGCCGGTGTTTCTCTTCCTGCCCTTCCTCACCCCTCCATAAACAAAGGTGAGCACATCTGACTCGATGCCAGGCAGCTACAGGCACTTTTTTAGAAGGGGAGTCTCTTTCACTTCTTAATTCCTTACAGAGAGATGCTCAGAAAAACCTCCTTCTTTGCAAAGACAGACCCAAAAGACCTAGGAAATGATAGTAATGCAAAAAGTGAACTTGTATGGGCCACTTGATGATACACCAGGCAGTGAACTGAGTGCTGAATGGGCATTGATATTCAATCCTCAGATTAGCTCTGGGACAGGGACCAGTCATCCCCAGTGATAAATGAAAAAACTGAGGCTTGGAGAGAACTTAAACCCTGGTGCAACTCTACTTAACTCCACTTAACTCTGGCACTGCTCTCACCGCCCAGAGCTCCCCACCCATGGAATGACTGAACGATTCTGTTGCATTTCCTGTCCTCCAAGAAGAAATGCCTGAAGTCAAGAGGAGGTCATGTGAGAAATCTGTGAAATCCTAGGGGTTTCTTGCCCTTTGGCCTGTGTATGAATTCTCCCAGCTCACAGAGGTATCCTGCCTTGATGGAAGGAGGTGGTTCAGGACACTCTGCTCTGGAAATGACAATAGCTAGGCTGGTGCCCAAAAAGGAAAGAATATGGCAAGTATTGCCCAGCTTGAGCCCTTTCCACTTGAGCACTCAAGCTATTCTTGATCTTCTTTATATATAGATATATAGAGAGCGGGGATGAGGGGTAGAGGAAGAGGGAGAGAGTCCTAAGCAGGCTCCACGCCCAGTGCAGAGTCTGATGCAGGGCTCAATCCCACAACCCTGAGACCATGACTGGAGCCAAAATCAAGAGTCGGATCCCCAACTGACTGTGCCACCCAGATGCCCCATATTCTTGATCTTCTAAAAACACCAGACTTGCCTGTTATTCAAGCCATCTAATGTCTATAATGCCATTATACTATCCAGTTCCCTATCAAAAGTTTCATCCATAAGGTTTAAAGGCCTGCATATAGAAAGCCTGCACAAAGGCACTGTAGCAAGAAAGAAGGCTGAAATAGGACCAGATAGGCCCTGGACATCTACCCTACAGTCATGCATCTCAGAACATAGCTGTGCAGAGGTGGCCTGTTGAAGTTCATGGGCTGGTGTCTGGGATGTGTGAGCACAGCAATTCTACACTGGGAGAGATTATTTGGGATCTCCAGGAGGATGTCTTGGAGAAATAGAGGAGATTATATATAAACTGGATTAGCCGCTGTCAACCTGGCATCAATACTACCCCCTTCTAAGGTCTTGTCCTCACTGCAGAGATGCCAGGAACTACATTTCCCAGGATCCTCTTCCCCCTATGGCTAGCTAATGGAAGGCAGGCAGGCACTCACATGAGCCTTGGAAGGTAAACGAAGAAGTCATTCCTCTGGAGGCAGTTGCAGCCTGCTGTGTGGGAAGGTGATTTCAGGCTGCCTTCTTTCGAATTGCAGTAGCTTCCCTTAACTTTGGATCTTTTGGCTGAGATCTGTGTTGGCTTTCTCGACCTTTTCTGTGGGAGATTCTCTGACCTTTGTTTCTTCAGTTCTTCCAGTGTGTATTATTAAACCCCTAATTCCTGTATTATGTCCCTCTCACCTGAAATACACTGAGTGGCTCTTGTTTTCCTAATACAATACAGAGCTCAGTTGAGCTCAGGATTTATTCAACATTTTCCTGTAAATTGGCCCCACTGAAATTCGAATGGGTAACAGCTTTCATTGCATTTAGGGCCGTTGCTAGGAGAGGGGATACTGTGAAAGCTTTTTTGCCCTCAATGCCAGAAATGTCTTTGGTTATGAAGCACACAGAGACTATCTCTGTGGACCTATCTGGGCCTTTCTTTTCAACTGCAGTTTTCAGATTTGTGAGACAGTTTTCCTCTTCCACCCTAGGGGACTATTTGATGGTAGGAAAGGCAGAGAAAGACCCAAAGATGTCAAGAAGCATTGGGAAGGTTTGTTGTAGATTTAGTTACCACAGGGGTACATTTTCAAAATGGCATTTCCAGGTTTCACTTGGCCAATTTCTTTAAGAAACTTTAAGAAACAATTCACTATCCTTTTCATTTTGATGTAAATTTGATGCAAAAATGTAAACAATGCAAAAAGAAATGGGAAAATGATCTCAGGATTTTAAAAACTGAATAAATTTCCATTTCACCTTAGACCTAGTTTGGCATTTGGGAACCCCTGATCTCATTCAAACTGCTCGTCCAATATTTAAGCAAGGGCACCTTTTATTAGGTGCTGGGGATCTAAGAGTCAGGAAGATAAGTACATTTCTTGCCTTGGGAAGCTTACATCAAACAGTTGGTTTATTTATTGAGAGAGAGAGAGCACAAGCAGGGGGAGCGGCACGCAGAGGGAGAGGAAGAAGGAGGCTCCTGAGAGTCGGCCATGGGGCTCCATCCCAGGACCCTGGGATCATGACCTGAGCCAGAGGCAGATGCTCAACCAAGTCACCCAGGCGCCCCTCAAACAGTTTTTTGATGCCACACATACTGGGCACTGTTGAGAACACGAGACATCTAACCCAGTTCAAGGGGGAAGAGGAAATTTCCAGTAAACTGCCTTAAGTCTGTAGGAGTTAAGAGAGAAGTAAACCTGAGGAAGAGAACTCATCTCCAGATGGGAAAACTGACACCCAGAAAGGGCTCATGACTTGCCCAAAGTCACACAGCATAGTGGCAGAACAAAAATGACAACCTAGGCATAAATTCCTGGGCCCCTACTAGCAGATGTTGCTACTTCTTCATAGTCTTTTTGGTGAGGATGCTAACTGTAGACTTACCGTCTTCACTGTCCACCTAGCTCTAGGCTGATTAAAGGAAGTCTTTACAGGAAGCAGCTAGCATCTCTTACAGAAAAAGATTATCTTGAATCTCACCTTCACTTGAATTCCGCAGAGTTCCAATAATTACTGCTTCTGCACTTTGTTACTTTGGGGCTCAGTCCTTTCCTTAAACAAAAATCAGCTTAACAAACCAAAATCATTGCTGTTTCTTGGAGTGAGACTGGAGTGAGTTGGGGTGGGAGCCAGGATGGTCAGAAAACAAACCACACGTATTGCTGCTTCTGGAAGCTTTGTTCTTTAATGAGCCATGGAGTGATCTGTTCATCAAGCTGCTTTTGTGTAGCTATACAGTGCATATTCTGAGCGACACAAACTGCACTTTATACAGATGATGTCTTGCTCCTCCCGATCCAAAAAAAACCAACCCAAAAGGAAATTACAAAGTGCCTGTTGATTGCATCAGGAATGTAATCAGTTCCGTGGGTGAGATAAATCATTCTTTTTATAGAATTATTCTGTTAAACAGTAAAATGATATATTTCACAGGATACGTCCTTTTACAATACATAGTCTTTTAAAAATTTACACTCAGCATACTTATAAATTACTTTAAATCCATTAAAATAATATAATACTAATCTGTAATCCACACCTTTCCCCTAGTAAATACAATTACTTGGTTCAAAAGGTGCAACTTTTATGTGACCTAAGAGGGCTGATAAATAGGTATTAATTATAAATGAATAGCAAGGTGATAGGCCCGTTCGTGTGGCTTTTTTGAAGAACAGTTTTAACCAAGAGACCAACAAGACCTAATAGATCCATCTCCACAATCATCATTTTGCTGTTACCTTTTAACACCAAATCAAATGTGGGAGTGTTTCCAGAGAAAAGTGGTTAAAAGTAAGTGAGGGGCACAGAAAGACTGAGGATGCCCTCAGATACCAAGGACTTTTACTACCAAGGCTAGCATGGTGCTACTGGGGGACAGTGCTGGGGAACTGTCACAAAATTATGGATAGGCATGACGCATTTGTCAACACAGAATGATGCATGCCCCATGCCTAGCTCCCCCACCAAGGGAGAAAAAAGAGGAGAGGAGGGTGAGGAAAGCCATCTGGACTAGATTTCTTTTTAAAATTAAAACTCTCTTAGCTTTGAACACATCCTGAGAATTTCTTCTCTAGTTTACCAAAGTGCTTGTGAAAGGTACACATTCGTTATAGTTAAAAAAAAAAAAAAAAAACCAACAAAAAACAAAACAAAAGGAAAACCATGGCCCACAGTACTGAAGTGGACCTGCAGAACCTTGCTGGACCTCCTCTTTTCAGCATGCTTCTAGGACCCCCTCTCTTCTCTGTCTTTGACAGTGAAAACAACCCCACTGTCAAGGAACACAGAAGTCTCCACTAACCTCCCAGCAGCAGGGTAAGAGCTGCAGCTGGTTTCCAAAGCATGAGAAGGTAGGGGCTCTGGTGTCCCATCCCCTGACTTCGGGTCCCTCTGTCTCTTCAAGGCCCATACTGGGAACTCTGGATCCCCCTTTGTATTTCCAGAAGCCTAGAGTGGCAAAGGAATTAAAATGGCAGGAAGTGCATTACAAACTAAGTATGTCACCTCCCTGATTCTTGCTGTTAAACAGATTTGCTTCACTTAATGATACACAATGTAACCTTAAAATTATACTACTCTGCTTCTATTACATTTTCCACGATAAGGGACAGTTGGCTTTAATGTGGAGAAGTGAATATCCAGGCTTTGGTTGGGGCTGGGAATGTGTGGTATGAACAGAATTCCCCTGTATTTTGGAGTATGGGCTCCAAATGTGGGGCTGCCCATTGCGGCCACCCGGGGTTTTGTCTGTGGCATCTGAGATCAAAGAAAAGCAAAGGAGAAGCGATGGGTGGTACAACTGCAACACATATGAAGGTTAAACACCTTCGTCGTAAGCGATTATAACACAGCATCACTTTGTGGTAACGTAACTTTAACCACGGAGAGGATCAGTTAAGACCAGATGGAAGGAGATACAGCACTTGGTTCTGACAGTTTCTAAGAGTTATGGCTTCATCTCTTTATCAGGCCAACAGTACTTGTTATCCTATGAGAAGAAAAGCTTTCTTTCCTTCAGAGGGAGGGTCCCACACTTGCTCTCCATTCTTACGATTGTGTGGATCTCTCCCCACCCCCCCACCCTCCGTTCTGGCAGTTTGTTAAATGACTAGAAATCCACAAATCTAGCAACCAAAAAACAAGTATTTTTTATTTAATTTTATCCAAATTCAGGTTTCAGGTCCCTGAGAAATATAAAGTCTCTTAACATCCATCGCCTAGTTCCTATAAAGTGACCTATAGGAGTATTTTTTTTTCAACTGCCAAAAACTTATTTTGCAAACGAACAAACAAAGAAAATCTGAAAAAATTTAGAAGGGAGAACATATGCCAAGATGTGTTCTCCAGGCCGCTCCTCGGGGCCAAAGGAAATTATCCAACAAGGGTCCTCTCTTTTTCGTACTGTATTTAACCAATGTTCTGGAGCAAGTAGAGAACAGCAGTCAATGCCTAGCAGGACACTACTTCCCCAGGAATACTGAAACAGCCTGCACAGCCCCGCTTGGGGCTCTGGGGCCCCAGAAGTCCCACTTGCCCCGACCATGCTGAGGGGTTGGGTTTTCCTCTAGGAGATTCTCCAAAGTTCCAATTTTCAAAAGGCTTTACTTTACATTTATTACTCCTCAGCATGAACAAGGTGGCAGGTGTTTGCAGGACATAAAATCTAACACTTACTCACAACCATCATCATTTTGGAGATTTAAAAAGATTCCTATCCCTAGCTCATTTCTGAAACCAAACCAGGGAGAGGTAAGACTCCTGCTACCATTAGCTGCCACTCAGAATGTTGTTCTAAGCCTGACCTCTGGGGCTTGACAATAACCACCGAGGCAGTGACATGAGGTTCAGTGTTGTGTAACAGGAGAGAATCTGCCTTAACAAAAGTCTTAATATTTCTACAACTTCAAATGGAAGAAGTATGAAAAGAAAGAATAACCAAAATTTGGGTTACAGATGGTAAAGGCTCTTTTTCAGAACAGTGCACGTGGTAGTTAGACAAGATGCATTTAGTAACTTTAAAAATAAACATTTTCACATACTTATCTCAAGAAAGAGTATCATGTTTCATTTTCCATATATTATAAATAGCAAAAACAGATTTCTAATCCCACAAATGCTAAGAAGCTTAAAATGCTATTATAGCTCAGGTGTATGGAGACACCCAGTGGTGAAAAAGATGGTCTGATTTTTCCAACCCAGGGACAGTGGCTCTCACCCCTATCCAATGGCCCCTAATCTGTGGGAAGAAATTCCACAAGGAGGAGGAGGGAAGCATAAGGTTAAAAAGAAATATGCATACTATACATATATATTTACAGTAAACTTCAGTAACCAGAATATTAACAAAAATTGCTTCAAGTAGTCCTTGATTTATTTTTTCATCTATTTAATACTGATGGTCTGAGGAAAAGAAGATAATAGTTAGATCGTTATATTAAAAACCTTTTTACTTTTTTGGCAGCTTTCTGTTAACACTTACTCATGCAGTGTTGTATATGAATGTTTTGGGAGAAGTGATTAGATGGTCACATTACTTGTCTGAGTTTGTGGTGGAAGATGAACAGGTTCATATGCGATCTTCAGTTTAATCTATACAAAGAAGAAAGCCTGGGTGGATTAGGATGAGACCCTCATGTTTAGGGATCACCATGTCTCTGAGACACTTAAAAAAAAAAAATCAGAGGAACCTAATCCTAGGACTGGGAAGTATGAGAACAGCAGGGCAACTGAAACTTCAGCCCATGCAATATATTTGGCAGGAACTAACCAGGAATGAAACCAGCATTATTATGACACTGAACATCATCAAAAAACAAAACACATTCTCTCTTCTTCATGTAACCAGATGTCTGAGACATGCTCTGATGGCTTCATGGAAACAATTACTTTTTTACTTTCCCCAGAATATAACATGGAGTATTTCTCAAAAATCTTAAAATAGAGGGCTTAGGCTTTTTGTTTACAAATCCTTGGAAAAAAATTATATTCTACCCCAGCTCCTAACTATCCCAAAATAAACCCAAAGGCTTTTGCTTTCACGGTTAAGAAAGATTTATATGTTTTCTTCAAATGTCAAAAATCAGTGGTTCCCTCAGGCCCACCATGTCCCCCTGCCAGTTCAACACCCACCTCTGGGAAGGAAAAGTGGGTGGAGGAGAGGCAAGTAGGAAGACCGCCAACCTGACCCAAATCCTCTGGCCCCAAGCGGCTCCACTTAGTGAACTCTCCAGGCAAATACAGCAGCCAAGGCATAGCCGGCACCATCCCCAGCAGGCTTCAAAGAGGCCTTTCTGCTTCTGCCGGAGGCCCAGGAAATTAGCACCCAAGTCCTCAGTTGTATGCGTGGGCAAGAGGCAGGACCACAGTTAGGATGGACTGCTGTGGACAAGGGGATGAGAAGAGGCCCCGAAGATGAGATGCGTTTACCACTCTGTAGCCATGAAGGGGCACCCAGCTGCCAGTTCAGACCATAAACTCATTGTTTCCAAAGAGAGCTAGCTGTTGGGTGGAGCTGGAGTCTGGGTCTGCAGTTTTCCTGCGGCCAGACACAACTGTCCCCTCTGGGGTCTCTTTGGTTTTCTGAGGTGAGTTTTTCACATTCTTTAATTTTTGTTTGCCCTTTTCAGGGTTGAAGGTTCCTCTGCTGATGAACTGAGGCCTGTCTTCCAGGGATTTGGTCTGGCCCAATGGCCCTTCCATTCCCAGGGCCTCCCCAGCTGAGGCAGCTCGGTAGAATGGAGATTTAGAATAAATCTGAAATCGTTTTCTGGTCCCATGAGAAGATGCAGTGTTAGACGAACATAAAGGAGAGGCTGAAGAGTCCACCGAATCCAAAGAGTCTTGCTGCTTTTTTAGCTGCTTTCGTAGCTTGCTTGAAGGTTCAGGTTTGCCAGACGCCTTCAGGGAGCTCAGGGCTAAGCTTCTCTCTAAAGCAAAAGGAGAAATCAAAGCTCTAAGTGACAATTTCCTCTAAAGCAAATCATCCCAAAAGAATAGGTTTCACCACTTCCGTGTGGTGGGTGGGCTGAGGTCTGAAGGGTCCAGGCTGACCTACTTTGTCCACAGTCATAACCTGAGAAGTTATCCATTTCTACACATATCATTTAAGAATCAACCCCAAGAAGTCTGGAGTTAGACTACACCATTAGGAGAGGTCTATAACTGTCACTACCATTTAAAATACTGCCAGGATATGTAGTAATTCTAAGTCTCCCTGAGCCATGCCAGGTAGTTAAATATCTCCTTTGGTATAAGCCCATCTCTCAGCAGGGCACAACTCCTACTAACCACCCTTAGAACAAGGATCATGGGTCAGTAAGACAACATGTGTTGTGATTATTGGGTTTTCTCTGTGGTAAACAGAAAACATTAAATTGACAAAAAAACTCCATTACATTAAATGTTTGGTTTGATGAACAATATGTAATGGAAGCTTCACAAAGATCAGTATATTTGAACTCCTTAGGATTTTGTCACCTTCTCACATAAGGTCAGGCATTCTTGAAAGGGATTTTGTCTTAGCTTGGGAATCCTTATTCCTCCCTTGCAAAACAAATCTGGAGTCTTTGATCTAATATGTTCATTTACCTGATTTCTCAGAGATGGCACCTTCAGACTCAATATTCAAATTTTCTGAGCTATCAGCAGTCCCAATGGAGGCCTCAGACTCAAGCGTTTCATCATCAGAAGCACGGGGTTCCAGTACAAGCATCTCAAACGTTAGCTCCTCCCTGTAAGATATAATCAAGAAATACACTAGCGTTTGATAAGAAGAGGAAGGAAGACAACAGGAAAAAAAGACCTACAATGAAAGAAATTTAAGTAGCAAAACAGTCACATTTCCTACTGTTCCCATCCAAGGTGGTCATGAAGATTGGTAAGCTCCAGATGATGAAGGCTACAAACGCAAAGCCTGGGACCTATAATAGAGCAAAGAGTGAGGTGGGAAAAGATGCTGCCGCTGTAAGGTATTTTGGTAAGATGAACTCTGGGCTGATAACCAGGAGATCAGCGTTCTAAACTCACTCTAAACTCATACATAATGCATTGGGAAACTACTTTCGTCTCCCTGGACCTCAGCTTCCTCTTCCACAAAACAAAGAGATGACATGAGATAATCTCTAAGATTCCTTCCAGCTCTTTAACTATCTTCCATGAACTGGCATTAACTGGCTACAAGATGATATCCTTTACCTTAACCACAGAGAGACCTCTGATGAAGTAAAACATCACTGATCTTTTTGTCCTTTACCTCTTACGCCACCTCCACTCACACTCTCTACTCCTTTCATCAGGCACCCACCTACCTCTCAGCTGTGCCCCCTTGTTCCCCCAAGTTTAGGTACTTGGTTCCTAATCTTGCTTTCTCGCTACTACCTGATGTCACCCTGGTGTGTCAATAAACATCTTTGTAAAAGCTCACTTCAGTATTTTCACACCGGAGTGTCCTTGTGTCTGCTACTTCTAACAACCTTTCCTTCATGTTATGTGGGCAACCTTCTCCAATGGGCAGATCTCAGAGTTTGTCGCTACCTGGAAATATACCAGCTCAACGTCCCAAACCGTCCACAACCTCCTTACCAAATCTCCTCTTTCAGAGCCTCTTATAGCTTTGCTTCCACTCTACCTAGCTCAAACTATTCATCCTTCTATACCTCCAATACCATTTTCATCAAAGCTGAGTGAGGTCCTCTTTTCAAATCAGCTAGCTAGCCCCTGGTCAACGTGCATCACTTCTGCCTAATCATGTTCTGCACAGCTGAGCCTCAGCTGCTTTTTAAGCTTACCAAAATTCTAGAATCAATCCTGACACGCAAAAAGTTACTTTAACAGACTCATATGTCCCCTAATGCATCAAGCTCTCAGACCTGGGATCCTGGAACTCAGAAACAAAAATCCCCTTAAAACTTTAAAGGGTCTTTATTGTCAATAAGAACCGGTACACAGTACCCTCAAAAAGAACCATAGCATGTCTGTATTATCCCCAAGATATAGTGTTGTTGTTACCTACCCTTGCTCCAGTGATGGTAGAGGGCACAGAGTTGACTGTCTCTCTCCTAAATTGCAACCAATTTCCCTACCTAGTATCCCAGCACCCACTAGAGCTGCTGCCTTACCCTGACCATCCAGTTGGTGGCCCCATGGCTATATTGATCTTCAGATAATAGCCTTCTTTAGGGAGTTCTTTTTTTTTTAAGATTTTATTTATTTGTCAGAGAGAGAGAGTGAGCACAAGCAGGGAGGGCAGCAGGCAGAGGGAGAAGCAGGCTCCCCGCCCAGCAAGGAGCCCAATGCAGGACTCGATCCCAGGACCCTGGGATCATGACCTGAGCTGAAGGCAGATGCTTAACCGACTGAGTTACCCAGGTGTCCCACTTCAGGGAGTTCTGAATAATACCCATTCTTGAAAGGGACTCTGTCTTAGCCTAGGAATCCTCACTCCTCCTCTTAAAGACCAATCTGTTCATTGAAACTGATCTCAGACCTGTTAGGAATCCTGGCTAAGACTGACACACCTTATCCCAGCCAGCCTTCTCCAGCACTGTCACTGAAGAAGCTTCAGGTCTCCCTGCTCATGGAGCTTCCTTCGCTAAGGTGACAACTCTTCACACTCTTACCCGAGTCCAGGCAACATGTCTGTCATCTTTGCATCCCCTGTGTTACCTGATACAGTGCTTGACCCATAGGGGATATTTAATAAATAAGGAAAAATCAAGAGAGCAGAGAATGAAGAAAATGAAAGCAGGTAATAACTAGTCGCTCCCTTTCCTCCTGGAAACTCACTTCTCTTTCTGTAGGTTCTCAATCTGCTCAGTCAGTACTCTCTCCTCTTGCTGCATAGCTGCTTGCTGTTGTTCTGTGATGTCAGTCTCCATAGCTGCTTCACTAGTCAAGGTCTCTTCTGGGACGTCAGACATGGAGGGCAACCGAACTACAACAGGAGAGGATGGACTTGGATAGTTTCCTCGATGAAGTCGCCCCTTTCCCTGCAAAGAAAAATATGTGTTAGCAAGTAAAGTGAGTGACTGCATTAGCTGTTATGTGGCCCATTCAGGATAGCAAGTGTACTTCCATCACACCAGGTGAATGGTAGGAATAAATGGAAACTTTCGGCAAAGCCTCAGGAATTTAGAAGATACTGTCCATCAAACACATTTAGATTAACTATTTCTTGCAAGAGCACTAGAAAACGGATACTTTGGTGGGTGGGACTGTAGGAACACATTATGCACTGAGAGGAGATTCTTCATTTAATCTAAGCTTTGTCCACTCCAAATTAAGTATCCACACATGGCTATTTAAATTTAAATTAGTTAAAATTAAATAAAAGTAAAATTTTAGTTCTGTATTCATACTAGTCATATTTCAAGTGCTCAATAGCCACAGGTGGCTAGTGGCTACCATACTGAACAGTGCAAGATAGAGAACATTTCCATCATCCTACAAAGTTCTGATGGACAACACTGCTCTGTAACTTTAACCTTGGAATGCACAATCTCTCTAGGAAGACTAAAGAAACATGTCCTGAAAAGTCAGTTTCATAAAAAAAAAAATCATTTATATATCACAAGATGCTAGTGAGAGAGATTCTGAGATCACCTTAAGGAATTTCCTTCTTGAGATCAGAGGGGGAAAAAATCTCATTGCTTTTAATTTGGTTACCTTGTATGTGACTTTAGCTTCTGATAATACCAGACTAGGTATTTCAGATTAAACCTCCTGCTGAGAGCAACTGGACCAAACATAAAATATTCCTGAAGGCACCAGAGAGCTAGTTAACAAGGCAAACCAAAGAGAGGCTAGTTCAGCATTCAGGGCTAATCTAAATTTAAGAAGAGGCACTGAGAATCTGAGCAGAGCTTTTGACAGACTACAGCAGGGGTTAGCAAACTATGGCCCTGGGCCAAATCTGGCCTTGTGCCTGATTTTGTAAATAAACCTTTACTGAAATAGATTCAGCTCATTAATTCACACATTGTCTAGGCTCTTCCAAAGAACAATGGCAGCATTGATTGTTGCATCGAAGACTGTATGGTACACAAAGCCTAAAGTACTTGCTCTCTGGTCCTTTACAGAAAAAGTTTGCCAATCCCTGGGGTAGAAATAAAACACACAAGGGTATGGACTGCTGGTAAAACCTCCATGCCTGACACAGGGATCCCCAAGGTTTGCATCCTAAACATAAGAGGAAACTGAAACAAAAGTCCTTGTGGACGCTGTAGCCTAGGTTCGAGTCATTTGAATGGTCCAGAAAACTGTAATTCCTAAAACTGGATTAAAGTAACTCCAGATTGCTAGTGCCCTAGAACCTGACAGAAAAAATGAAAACACGCCTTAGAGTAAAATCATATCCTCTCAGGCTTCAAAATACTTTTACAAATAGTTTTTCAAATACTATACATGACACATAATCAAAGGTAACCAAGCACAAAAAGAGACAAGACAATGTAAATGAAAACTAGTGAAAACAAAAAACCCAGAAACCCTCAGTGACTCCAGATATTGTGGCTATCAGACAGACTTAAAATAACCATGCTGAAGGAGATAGAAAGATGTGAAATACTGGAAGTTAAGTCAGAAGAAAATACAAAGAATCAAGCAGAGAAAACAAAATTTTTCCTGAAAAAATTCAGAAAAGAAGGTAAAAAGTTAGAACACAATAAAAAGATCTACCATATGTAAAAAGAATACCAGAAGAGGCGAGAGATCCTGTAGAATACTGAGGAGATAATGACAGAGCATTTTTCAAAACCAATTAAATATATCAACCTACTGACCGAAGAAAGCCTTCAAACGCTAAGGAAGATAAATAAAAAGAAGTCCATACATAGACCAATTGCTAAAAATTAAAGACAAGAGATAATCTTAAGATTTATTTATGACAGAGAGCGTGAGAGGGTGAGCAGGGTGGGGAAGAGCAGAGGGAGAGGGACAAGCAGACTCCGTGATGTGCACGGAGCCTGATACAGGGATCGATCTCACAACCCTGAGAGATCATGACCTGAGCCGAAATCAAGAGTCAGAAAAAAAGTATACCTGCAACAAGGACACAAAGTTAATATTCAGAAATCAGTTAAATTTCTATATACTAATAATGAAGTAGCAGAAAGAGAAATTAAGAAAACAATTCCATTTTCAATAGCACCTAAGAGAATACAGTCCCTGGGAATAAACAATCAAAGAGGTGAAAGACCTTTACTCTAAAAACTACATAACAGTGATGAAAGAAACTGAAGATGACACAAACAAGTGGAAAATATATTCCATGCTCATGGATTGGAAGAATTAATATTGCTAAATGTCCATACCACCCAAAGTAATCTACAGATTCAATGCAATCTCTCAAAATAGCAATAGCATTTTTCACAGAACTGAAACAAATACTAAAATTTCTAGGGAATCATAAAAGACCCTGATTAGCCAAAGCTATCTAGAGAAAGAAGAACAAAACTGGACGTATCACAATTCCAGATTTCAAGATACTACGAAGCTGTAGTAATACAAAACAGTATGGTACTTGCACAAAAACAGACACATAGATTAATGGAACATAACAGAGTCCAGAAACAGACCCTTGCTCATATGGTCAATTAATTACAACAAAGGAAGCAAAAATATACAACAGGGAAAAGCCTGTCTCTTCAACAAACAGTGCTGGGATAACTGGACAGTTACATGCAAAAGAATGAACTGGACCACTTTCTCACACCAGACACAAAAATAAACTCAAAATGGATTAAAGACCTAAATGTGAGACCTGAAATCATAAAACTCCTAGAAGAGAACAGGCAATAATTTCTCTGACATCGGCACAGTAACATTTTTCTAGATATGTCTCCTAAGGTAAGGGAAACAAAAGCAAAAATAAATACTAGAACTATATCAAAATAAAAAGCCTTTGCACAGAAAACAAAAAGGCAACCTACTGAATGTGAGAAGATATTTCAAATCATATATCCAATAAGGGGTTCATATCCAAAGTATATAAGGAACTTACACAACTCAAAACCAAAAAAACTACAAATAATCCAATTTAAAAATGGGCAGAGGACCTGAATGGACATTTTTTCAAAGAAGACATACAGATAGCCTACAGACATGTGAAAAGATGCTCAACATCACTCATCATCAGGAAAATGCAAATCAAAACTACAATGAGATATCATCTTGCATCTGTCAGAATGGCTAGAATCAGAAAGACAAGAAATAACAAATATTGGCAAGGTTATGGAGAAAAAGGAACTTTCTTACACCAATGATGTAATGTATGGTGATTAACATAACAATAAAACATTAAAAAAATAATGTTTTGGATTTAAAGTATACAGATAATTAAAAATAACAACAGCAACTGTACCATATATAATAATATAATAGCTGAAGCATATGAAAGTCCTTACATCATCTAAGATAAAAGCACAAATTAATAGATTTTGATAGTCATAGATTTATGTTGTAATCTTTAGGTTAACTATTAAAAAAAAGAGGAAAAATGTAAAACTTGAAACTAACAAAAGAAAAAATGGAATAAAAAGGAACCAAAAGAAAAAAGCAAAACAAAACAAAACAAAAACAACAAACCCAAAAAAGGCAATAAAGGAACATGTATCAGGTAGGAATAATAAAAAGCTCAAAATAAAATAGATTTAAATCCCAATATATCAAAGATTACATTAAATGTAAATAGATTAAATGCTCTAGTTAAAATCTGAAGATTGTCAGACTGTCTTAGTAAAGAAAACCCAAGTATATGAAATTTATAAGGGACACATATAAAACATAAGAATTCAGAAAACTGGGCGCCTGGGTGGCTCAGTCGTTAAGCGTCTGCCTTTGGCTCGTGTTGTGACCCCAGGGTCCTGGGATCGAGTCCCGCATCAGGCTCTGGGCTCAGCGGGAGGTCTGCTTCTCCCTCTCCCACTCCCCCTGCTTGTGTTCCCTCTCTTGCTGTGTCGCTGTCAAATAAGGAAATAAAATCTTAAAAAAAAAAAAAAGAATTCAGAAAGCTGAAAGTAAAAAGATGGGAATAAAAGACATAGCATGTCTAATCAAAAGAAAACTGGTGTAGCTATATAAATTCTAGACAAAGTAAACTTTAAGGTAAGAAGTGTTACCCGTGATGAAGAGGGATATTTGACAAAAGCTCAAATTATGAAGAGGACAGAAGACTTCCAAACTTGGAAGAGCCCAAGAAACGCCTTCTGAAAACTTAAAGTAACATACTGACAGAATACTCAAAGAAACAGACAAAGCTATAACTAGCACAGAAAAAAACAAATGTGTACACACAAACCAGTAAAGCTACAGAATGGAACAACCTGATAAACATAAGTGATATTACAGACATATAGAGAATTCAGTATCTAACAACTTCAGAATATTCTTTATTTTCAAGCACATACAGCAAGAAAATGTATTTCCAAGGGGTTAAAAACGTTTATCTGACCTTTAAAGTAATTTAAAATAAGTTTCCTGATAGTGTCATCACAAAGAGAAAACTAAAAATCCCTATAAATTCAGAAATTAAGAAACAGACCTTAAAATATCCATGGACAAAGAAGAAGTCACAATGGAAATTAGAACTTATTTTGAACAGTATGAAAATATGTGAGATATACTTTAACACTGCCTACCTTAAAGTTATAGCCTTACATGCATACATTAGAAAAGAAGAAAGGTTAAAAATTAAAGAGATAAGCATCAATTTCAGGAAACTAGGTAAAGAGTAACAAAGTAAACCAAAGGAAAAAAAGGAAACAAAGAGTAAATGAACGTTAGAAAAAAGAGGATCAAAGCTAATATGTAACTTTTTGAAAAGACTGATAAAAAGTTTAAAACCCTGGAAGACTGAAGAAAAAATAAGAATTCACAGATAACCAAAGGCAGGAATGAAAAAAGGGACACTACTATAAATCTTGTAGACATGAAAAAGAGGCTACTATGAACAACTTTATGTCAGTAAATCTGGAAGTTTATATAAAGTGGA